GACCCACAATTGCAAAACCAGCTTGTACTAATCAATTGCAAAATAACAGCCTTAAGCATCACTCAACAGAAACCATTACACACTTTTGAGACAAACTTACTCACTGTACTATCTATAACCCACTGCGACAGCCTTCTTCGTCGGATGAAACCTTATTCCCAATAACCATCCCAAAAACCTCAAACACTCCTCCATTACCAACAAATGTAACCCTGTTGAGGGTTTCTGAGTATTGTGCAATGTAGTAAACACGGCCGTGTTTTCAAAACACGTCTCAAAACCTAGCTGTTAGTGTATTCATGCACTGAGAGCTCAAAAAGTTTGAAATCCGCAAATATTTATTCCCTTACATTTAATCATAAAATACTTTTCTTCCGTATAACGTAAAAAGAAAGTACTGTGAAATATTAATGCAAAAATAGAAACTTTTTCAAACCCATTCAAACCTCCGACAATGTTCGCCTTACCAGAACAGTGAGTTCAGTGTGTTGGAATAGTGAGTTACGTAAACAGCAAAAGAAGATATCAGTTCATTAAAAAGACGCCAATAAATATGAACCATAAAACGCCTAATTTTTAAAGAAAACTTGCTTAGAAAAATGCACGTCATCCAGAAGAAATTTTAAGCAAACTCTCATACTAGGCAGGAAGTTTTATGGCACTGTTCAACCAACACTTGAAATGGAAGTTTGGACTCCGCTTTGTAAAGCAAAAACCCGTAAGTTAGTGATTTCACTGTGCCGACAAAGTAGAAAACCTATATCATACGCTGCACTACATTGAAACCAAAAAAATTTTTCAGCAGTCGTGAATCACCAAATCTTAAGCAAAAATAACAAACTTTGAAAAACTCCAATAATTGGGGAAGTGAAAAATACCACAGTTTCAGAAAAATTGGTGAGGAAAATCACTTAATTTCATAATGCCAAAACAGTGACAAAAGCGAAACAGCAGCAAACAGTAGCTACTGTTATGCGACTTTGACAATCAAAATATAGTATAACTAATAACAGAAGCATAAAAACGATAATCAAAAAATGGCTGAAAAAAGAAGGTATCTGAGGTGATTTTAAACTTCAACGCAAGTCAGTGTAAAATTTCGCAGTGACAAATCTCGAAAACTAATAAAAAGACTGAAGTCAGTTACGAGATGAATAAAATTTGTCATTCAATGCAAAAAACATTTATAAAGAAAATGTACTTTTGAACCTCTCCCACAGTAGCGCAAGAAGTTTACGTAGTCACACTAGACAGATACAAGAAAAAACCAAACTACAAAAAAGTAAAGCATCATCAAGGGCCACATGAGAATATAAAGGAAATTTAAAATGCTTCACGAAAAAACAGGAAGTCAAAGGCACGAAATTCTAAAATACTCATCAGGCATTTTCCTTTCACAATGTTGTAGATTATTTTTCTTTTTCAATTTTGTAAATTATCACAACATATTCTGGTAAAAGATTAACGATAGCCGAGAATGTAATGTCTCAATGGTAGACATAACATTACAATTGGTTTTACATCGGAAATATCGGCACATTGTTATCAGCTAGCCACTATCACCAAGGTTCAGCAATATCTGATATGAAGGCAAGCATAAAAGGATTAGTGAAGACAAGGACGGGGTTCTCTCTCTCGGCAATATTGGACTTCGGTTATTCACGTCGGAAAAGACTTCACGTGCTAAAAGCTTCGGCTCCCATTCTATCTATTTGTCGTTGGTTTTATGAATTATTTCCTTGCCGGTATTCTGTTGCTTTTTATTATCTATTGCATCCTATTGTGTGTAAATCTCATCCTTTCTATTTACGTTGCGTTTCATTTGGTTTCAGATTCTTTGTCAGTAGAATTTAGAACATCAATCGTTAGCCAAGCGCAACAAAAGATCTCACATATATATAAAGTGTCGTAAAATATTAATCAGTGAGACTGAGGAACTTAGGTAAATTTAAAAGCTCGCGTCGCGACACCCAACATAGCACAAGGAATGTTAACACACCTTGAATACTGTTTCATTGACACGGTAGAGACCTCCGGCAATTCACACTAAAAAAACGAAAGAAATCCCATCGCAAAGATTGAGTGTAAAAGTAGGAGAGCATCCAACAATTCTAATTTTACTGTCTAATAAAGCTACCTGATATGCACTTTCCATTGTAAACAGCGACAACGGTTTCAAGGAACTGTAGTCAAAAATCACTGGAACCCGGATTTTACAACGCAAGTTGCTCTTAAACAAGCTCATCACCTACAACAGAATGCTACATGAAAACTGAACTTGCCGAAAACCAACAGAAACTATACAATTATAAGTAAATCGTCGATAAATCCAAAAACTCACCTCACCAAGAACTTCATTTTTAGCAAACTCTGCATAACGTCTATATTTTGACAAGTCCATCTCACTAGAAGTTTTTGCTTCAAACCCATATGCTTCTGCTGATGTTTTCAAACCAATACCCAATCTACTGTGACGTCCCCCTACAGAACCAAAAGTTTGAAAGAAAAAAGCTATTAACTGAAAAGCACACAGATTTCCTATGCTACTTTATTCGCTGGTGATTTTTTGAAACTGGCAAAGATGAGAAAAACACGTTCTGCTCAGCAAAATCTCATCATAAACAATATTGATATACAAACAAATCACTGGTAATACCATAATGAGAAACCACGGGACGATCTAGATATGATTCCTGAATTAACTGCTGTTTTTTATCTGTTGAAACCTGCAATATAAAATAAAAAGTAAAATTGGCAAAAAACACTGTTTAAAACGGTAAATTTAAATTTCTAAGTAACAAAGACGTCATCTGAAAAGAATGGCAGGCTTAACAATTACCGTTGTTCAACACTTACGAAACTCTCCCAAAATATATCAAAACATATTTAAATTTTAAGAATCTCTTTGTTCCTCATAGGTGGAGAACAAATTTCTGAATCCAAATCTCTTTCAAAGGAACTAAAGGTATAATTACTATCAGTTCTTATTTGGCACCAAAATGGAAGCTATTGCAAAAGAAAGCTCAAAATCTCTAAACTTCCGGCAAAACAGAAACGGTTCTCAAAATACATGAATTCCCTCTTGCAGTCAAAAATTACTTTTTAAGGCGCAACCGCACCATAACCGATGCGGTCCCAACCCAGGAATTTTAGCTGTTCATTTATTTAACTAAGAAGTCCTTAGAAATTGATAAATCAAGAAAATTATTAAAAAATTTAGAAGAGGCTCTTCTTCGAGTTATTTTGGCAGAAAGCTACGCCCCGATAAATGATTCCACGCAATGTGTAACTGTAAACTCTAACTTGTCCGAAAACTTTTTTGCAGATGCAGGATTCTAATCACCTCATATTTAAAACAACTTTACTAAGCACTAAACTTTCCCTATGCTCATTGTCACAGCAAGAAATCTAGAACAGAAGTAAAGGCATAAATCTTCCTTAATAAACTATTCTACGGCAAGATCCCCTGGCCAATATCCAAAAGTTATCAAAAATAAGGAAAATGTCACAAGTCAAAACATTTCTTAAATCTTACTGCAACAAATTAAACCACTTAATTACAAATTTACTATAGTGGATGTATTTAAACTAATTCTCCTATAAAGTTCACTAAAAAAAAATTTTTTCTCGATTCACACTGACCTCAAAAATCACTATATACGTAAAACAGTTACCTCATTTTACTGACAGAAACCTCTATACCCAGCACCCTCTCCTTTCTAAGCCCATTAGCATGTACCAATCTCAAGAACAAAACTGATATTCAACTTCAGAATCCATGTGGTTCCTCCCAACTGTCCTTTTTCCATCCTTCTTCAAAGCTCTTTGAGCAGATCACTAATGAGAAAAAAAAGAAGTGACAAGTCGATTTAAGATTTTCTGATGGTCTTTAAAGGCTCTAAAATTATTAATACATACCAAATTTAAAACACCAGTAAAAATCTTACGCTTTCCAAAAATATTAGATCAACATCTTCCCAATTACAGTCAGCTTTGGTCAAAACTTAGGAAAATCACCAATTAAGTTAGTTCTCCACATTTGGAAAATAAGGACTACAAAAAATGCTGAAGAAAATCATAAAAAACGGTAGGAGGTGTCGTAGAATGCGCCTACTTTCTAACCCCTGTCGTAGGCAACAAAGCGTTTCGTAAAGACAAAGTTTCGAAGAAAAAATACATTAAATCCACACTCGTAATGCACTTCAGCATCCGATTTCACAAAAGGTTCATCCTCCTCGTCATCATCTTCAACGAACGAAGCCTGGTCTGCTTTCACACTGCTAGACTTACTTTTCACCTCAGAATCTGGCTAAAAAAGATCACTTTTTATAAACGAATAATAAGGCAATTTCTGAAAAATAGTGAAAAAATCTAACTTTGCAGTGGTGGAAAATAATCAGAAAAACCCCAGAAACTAGATGAAATAAATTAAGTATAAAACTGACTAACCGATTTCCAGAGTTTAGCAAACGAATAGCTCTGAGCAACACTTTGCTGAACGCCATCCACAGTCACCGACTTCTGCATATCTTTTTGCTCACGTATCAGGTCATCAAAATTCGTCACTTCCCAAGAACGATAATGCATATAGCATTCCTCCTCCACTGACGACAAGCCTAGAAATTTCTATCAGTAATCGTTTGATAGCTACCTTACGAAGTGTGAAGTGCAAACCAACATTAATTTTCCTTTTTACAACAAAAATGAATCATTAACCGAAAGCCATATTTTAGCTCCACAAAGCATTTCGGCAGAACAATACTGCAAAACTGCTGATTAATCATGGAGGAGAATAATAACAAAAGCTAGAGCTTGTAGTAAATTCTGGATTCCTTTTAAAACTGTCATTTTTGAAAGTATGAAGTTTAAACCACAGCAAATAAATCCAAAAATAGAAATTAATGAGGAAAAACTACAGTTGAAAAAATTTTTGAAAAGAAATTCAACTAAAATAAAATAGCAAATAATGAAAAAGTGAGTGGAGGAAAAGAATAAATGGAAGAGCTCAGGAACAACTACTACTGAATTAGAAAAAAACAAAGAAGCCAAATATCAAGTAAAACAGAAATAACAAGTTTTTGTTAATTCATTTTTTCTGAACAAACTAAATAATACATATGTGAAACAGTCTAACAAATGGATTGATAATTTGCCTATAGATTTGATAGAAGCTACTCAGTACCCTAGAAGAATGGCTATTTGAATCACTACCTCCATCCGTACAACGTAATATTTCTCCTAATTCATCTCCTACTTCTCGGTCATCATAACAGAACCAAGCACAATAATCCGCAGCAGATTTGTATTCACTAGAAAAGTGTAAATAATAATCTGTTCCCAGTTCCCAGAGGTGCGGCAAAGACTCTGTTCCTGGCCTAAAACAGTTAAACATGTCCCTCTTTGCCCTTAAGAAAACAACGAAGCTCACCTGTAAACACCTAAAAACAAGTTAATTGCATTCAGTTTGTCATAGTCCCCAAATGTATTGCTATAATAGCGAGACAACGTCTGGATAACATCGCGACTGCGTTCCTAAAAATTCAAAAAGCACTACTTTGAATCTCTGTCGTAATTAAAATCATTTTTACCTGGAATGCTGCAGTCTTTTTATACGTCTTAATAGAGTGGACAAGCTGTGACCCAGCATACTGTAAAGCTAATGTATCACCGTGTTCATCCATCATATCTTCAAAAATTTTACTAACTTCACTAGATAAAGATAACACTGGATCTCCGCTAAATCCCATAGAGTACAGCTGCATACCCAAAGCAACCTTTCCTAAACAACGACAAGCATTAAAACTAACAAATGACGAGCTTTGAAAGCTATCCAAAATAACTAGTCCAAAATGACGACTTTTAGACAAGAGAAGACGAAGGAAATAAGCCATATTTAAGCATAAAAATTAAAGAATTAAAAACAGTGAAAGTTCAAAAGAACCATGATTAGTGCAAAATGACCTACCAATGCCGAACTGAACAACGTTCGTCCTATCTAGACAGTCGACACAGTTAGTTCGTGAGATACCCTTCTGAAGGACATAATGACCATCAAGAGTTTTAGAAGGGCGATAGTCGTTAAGTAGCACGTTAGGCCGAACCTTATGACAGTAAAGTGGAGGAAATGTCTGAAAGCCGACAAAGCAAAGACGCCATTTAAACTGTATCTTCCAAGATGTAAAAAGATAAAATATTAAGGCTTTTACAAGTCCTAACTGGCAGTTTATTTCAAATAATACCTGGAACCAGCCATGGCGCAAAACGGCCCGTAAACCTATTTCTTCCAATCTGCTCATAACAACTCCCGTTTTATTACATCGAGCAACATCAAAGCTCAAGTATAATATCCTTTCCGAAGCTGGCAGAAACTGATTAAGATATTTAACAGCCTAAAACGCCTATAAATATTGCAATTTGTAGAAGACTTTTTCCATCACAAGCCTAATACCTGTAAGGACCGCATCACAACGACGCATTATTATTAGTAATGATTTTGTTTACAAACCATTTCCCACTTTAATAACGTATCGAATCAATGAGAACTAGTTACAAGACAACAATTACACTGTTTTCCTCCCCACCAACTAATGATTCTAGGAGACAAAAACTATTATGGTGATCAACTTCTTAAAAGACTATGAATATTACAGTGCAGCCAATAAACAAATGCATTTTCAATTAAGAAAATTACTTTCAAGAACTGGTCATGTAAAACAGCCTCGTGCTTGCGTTTCTCCCGCCGTTTCACAAGGTTCATCACAATCAGAGGTGATCCATACTTCCGCCTCAACTCTCTAAATTTTAAAAATTATTTTTTACCGTACAAAATCAAGTAAATAGAAGAAACAGTAGTTGGTCAAGCACAACGTAGGAAAAGCACCTGAAATGGGCTGCTGCAGTTTGCGCATGAGGTTCATTAATATCAATAGATATTAAGGGTTTCCCAACCACACCACGAGTTGAAGGATCCTGGCTCCATAGCAAAGGTACCGAACCTCTACGCTGTACAAAGGCGCTAAATTTACCGTAACGAAAGTCTGGAGATGTAGACATATCCCATACAATTTGTTCAGTTTCAACATCGTTTGCCACATCTCCTAAAGGAAACACACTTCCTGATCTTTAAATCCTCCTGTACTACAAAACAACAATTAGTTTTCTGTTATCCAAAACCTCTTTTATTTTTATCGGAGAAAAGGTATAGAATAAATTCACAAGACGTTCTCGCAGTCGCTCAATTATCAATCACAAAATACCTTAATAAAAAGAATTAAAGGCAGAACAAAATAGAAGTTAAAGAAGACTAGCAATAAATAAAGAAACCTTTTTGATTGGCTCCTCGCTTCAAGTATCGCGTTCCGGCATAGACAGACGACCTCCTTCCTACCAAGGTCAAGGAAACTCGTGAGCAAGGAAGTTCTACAATCTGTTGTCCTGTAAGGAGAAATAAACTTTTAATAAGAAATTAAGGTACCACTATTTGAATAAAGCACTACCTATTTTCCTTCTAAAAAGCAACAGAACTTTTTCACAAATTTTCCGTAAGGAATACACAAAACTACAAAACGGGAAAACTACACAAATAAAAAGACTGGGAAGGCTAACCAACATAACCGTGAACAATTTCTATCAACCACTTTTCGCTGACAGCATTCGAGCGAAGCGGTCCCAGTAAGAACCTATTCCAAATAAATTTACGTTCAGCTGAAGAAGAAAATGCACCTCTTCCAGTAACATTTGCACAGTTTGGCCAATCTCTAACACCGCAACAGTTTTCTTGCAATGTTCTACTTAGATTATACGTGTACGAAAAATAGAAGTCGGTAGTTAAGTCAACTGACTGAAAAGTTAAGGAAACAATAAGGAGTACTAACTTGATCCGTTAGGTAATATTTTTAGTCCTTCTGTATTACCTCATTCATTTTTTCTCATCAACCAAAATCAAATTAGGATATCCAAAAGTTCAAAAGAAATTTTTTGAATGTACCTGGAATAATTTTAAATAACGCTGTTCGTCGGAGCTACAAGTTGTGCTTTCTGCAGGAATATAGAGCATCGCAACTTCTTCAATTTTGTATATAGTGTGATATCCAAGAGATGCAACAACACGAGCTTTTGTTACCAACTGTCAAATAAAAATGAAACAATATATTTTTTTAAATTGTTGAATTGCATTGGACATAGCCCTTTCTGCATTTCGCGCTTTTTTCAAGCAACAGACTTGATATTAAAACTCAAAAATAATGTATTTTTTGTACATAACTTACAGTAAAAAGTAAAAAAAAATCACATTTAATCACGAACGTCACTAAATAAATTTAGCCAAACAATTTCTCAGCAGCGTAACGCAAGATAAAAGCAGTTTCTAAAATTTTTTGAAAAAAATATAACTCTAAAAATTGTTCAAAAAAGTGAAGGAACTCGCCAGCATGTAATAGCCTTCAATAAAACGTACAACACCCAGAAGTCCATAAGCACAGGCAAAACGTTCAGTTAGTCCTTTCTTCTTATCATTCCCTGTCTTCTTCTGTGGTTGCGATTTCAGCAGTACTGCAAAAACTACCACGAAACATGATTGCTAACGAAGAGACGTAACAACCAGAGCTCCTTAAAGTTTACTCTCAGTCGCTAAATAAGAAATATGAAAACTCCACGTGTAGTATGAAGTTTTCTGCCAAACCTCAATGACTGCCACAAAGACCATACAAAGAGGCCCTTTGTTCAGTTAAAATGTGACTTTAAAATGATAGGAAATTGATGACGCTCTACATACTAGCCGGTAAGGACCACTACTTTAATACAGCCTTATACGGCATTTATAGTAATGTCGACAAACAGCGAATAAATGTAAACTCACTGTCTAATTAACTCTAGACAAGCGCTCACTTCAAAGAAGAGTTTCAGAGTATAGCCAAAGCAACATATTTCCCAAATAACTTTCTTATAAGATGCCTCAACAATCCTTCACTGAACCCTTCACCGATGTTGCATTCATGAATAAAACAGCATCTATAAAATCTTTGAAAACAAAAAAAAATTAAAACAAACTTGACGACCCATCAGTGATAGTTGCTAATAACTCTTGGATGTCCGACGTATTATATACATGATCAGATTCCTCAATGACCAGTATGTGAGGTTCCATACGCCCCAGCTTTAGCAAATAATAATCTCTCTGAGACCCGTCGCAACCAACAATGTAGTAATGAGCTGCTGTTTCGTACACAGACAGGTACCGCAAGCGCATGCTAAAAAAGGCCAAGTGCAAAATATGAGCACTAAAATCTTCCAGTGTTTGCATCAAAAAGTACATTACAATAACTGTACGAAGCAGCTTGTCTATGAGTAATCTGGAAATTTACTTTATCATGCTAAGAAGAAGATTATATAAGAAGGAGGATAGAAACCTTTTGTTGTCAAACCTCTAGCTATTGTTCTCCTCTTTGTCCTTTACAACTACTGATATTATCGCAATAACTGTTCCTGCCCTAATAATATTTTGGTTTTGACGAATACAAGAACTCTTGTACTTCAAGCCTCCAAAGAATGATAGACCTGTAGAAGACAGAATAATGCCGGTGTTGCAGGTCTCATCAGTTTATGTATTTGTCAATCAGTCAGAACGAAACAGACAACACCTGAAAGCGCACTATCACTGGTGGAGGCGCAATGTCAGAAGTTGCGGTCAGAATAAACCGTCGATTCAATTTGAGGGCAGATCGGGCCCTGGCAAACAGCCAGCTTCTCTAGTCGTTACATACCGCAGGCTGTTGCAGCCTCAAATAGAGTATTCAAGGCTGGGCAGTCAGCACAGTTGCGGTGCTTAAGCGTTTGCTATATATCTGAAGCTGTTTGACCTGCTATCAGGTGTGTTCTTCACAGCTGCTCAAAAAGAACTCGATGGTTTGGTGTTCTTTTTTTCCTGTCTATTCTCTCTCCTAATTCCATCAACGAATTGTTGGTTTGTTAAGTGTTTTATTTATTTCAGATTTGCAATCTTCTTTCTAAACTTTCTTAATAATGAGTGTGAATTCTCCACTTAGATGTAAATTTATTCATTTTTATGTATTATATATAATCGGCTGACAGTAGCATTTCGTTTGTAAGATATGGAAGGAAAAATTAAATTTTATTACCAATTTTTTTTTTTTAAAATTATCTACGGTGATATGTTAGAGGGGTCAAGGATCTGAAAATTTTTCTTGAGCGTTTGGTTGTGCTTTGAGATTGGGTAGAGAATAATTACGGTGAGTATTCTGAAGGGTTAAATATATGTATATAATCTCACTGAGGTTTGTGTTTCGGCTTGAAATCGTCGTCATTGTGCTCTGCATTTGTTGAAAACAAATTTTATGAGAAAGTGAAGAATACTTGTGTTGATCTTAGCAACTTATAGTGTATTTCTGGTCGCATGCTTAACGCATTACAAAGACTAAAATTTCGAAAAATTACAGCATTGAGGATACGGGATTTAGCTCTTGTTTGACGACGTAAACTGCTGTAAAAACGTTTTTTTATTTGTCTGCATTGATATTTGTCTCTCAAATGATCACTGTATCGCTATCAAATGAAAAAAAAAAAGTGTTTTTTTTTTTTGTTGATTGAGCGATTGGCTTTGTATGGCTGTCTTACTTGTTCTTCCTTCTGATGAATTACAGTGAAAAAAGATGATTTACTTGATTGATTCTCGTTTAAATAAAGCATTTTTTTTGTTGCCATTTATACGATTTAATTTGAACCGCAAGTTGATTGTATGATCTTGTTTGAAATCTAAACTGTCGACCAATGACCTGGGAGGAATACCGTACATTTAATGTGAAAAGTGAAAAACGAGCGAGTGTTTGTGCTACGTTACCCCCATAGTCAAGAAGAAATTCAAAAGCTTTCATAATTTTGCTTGCCTGTTTTTTCATTTCTTTTAGACATTTTAAATTCTAGTAATTGTATATTAAAATAAAATACAATTT